TTAATTTCAAGACTACTTTATTTCTTTTAGTAGTGTTTTAGTATGAAAAGTGTTTTCAGTTTTTTTTTTTTTTTTGGTTTTTTGTTTTCTGAAGGACGTTGAATGAGATCATTAACAGATACATTGGTTTTTGCTTGCTGGATGGCTTTAAAAAAAAACTTTAACTTTTAGAAGTTATATATGCACATGTGCATATATTTCAATTAACAGTGTTATATATAGAATCACTTTCTGTTACACCAGAGTATTTTTTATCCGCTGTCATCTGAAAACTGTATTGAAGACAGAGGAAAAATAGTATTGTAGTAACTTACAGGAAAAATAATAAGTGCCTGTTAAAACTATAACCTAACATTCACACCAAGATAAATTCCCATCAAGATCAGACAGTAAGTCTGTTAAGTGTTTCTGAACTTGTTTGCTTTTTGGTAGGTTCTCCTATCCTACTTTCTTTTGAATATAAACTATTCCTATTAAAATAAATAGCTATTGCATATTCATCTGATAAATATCCTCGAAAATACTTTAGTTATTTATGTGAACATGTTTATTAGTTTGGAAACTAAAAACATGGGATTCTTTCAGTTTTCATTATCTAATGGTCTATCTGTTTTAGAAAGAACAGAAATTGTTGCTCTGAAGGCTTATTTTTGTATCACAGCAAAAACAAAAACAAAAACCCAACAAACCATGTATCATGTATCTCTTGTTTGACTTCTGATCAAATTTCAGTAGCTAGCTGTTGGCCCAGGAAAATACTTTTGTCAGTTTTCATGGCTAATGTTGCATTTATTCACACATTCTCCACTTACTGCACATTGAATTTCTTAGTATTACCAATCTTTCAGCCCTAAAAACTCCATGTTTCAGTTGGCAAAATTAGCCTTTAACTTTTCTATGAAATGGATTGTTGGACTTAGTGATAAGATTTTTTGAGAACTTTATTTTTCAATGACTTAATTTCACTTTAGAAATAGAAAACGAGAAAGTGGTACTATTTTGCTATTATGCAGTTAGAATTTGTGTACTTTTCCAAAATCATCTGCCTTTAGAAGACACTTTAGCTAAAGAATATCTAGTAGGCAACATAAAGTAAGTAAAGTCACATTTTGGGAACATTTAACATTATGATTTCTGTATGTATGAAATAATAGTGTTGACTATTTTTCAGAAAAACTTTGCTCATTTTATTCATTGTGTATTATGAAAATGTGAGAGGTCTAGATATAATGATTAATATTTAACAGTTTAATATATCTTTATATCTATCTTTATAAGATATGTATTATATATCTTAATTTTATTAACATTAGAGACTATAACATTTAAAGTAGGTGTGTAAATCAAATTTGTGAGGAAAAGATAAACCAGTCTAGTTTTGCTCTAAAAATGTAAGAGTTCTTTAGTTATCCAGATACACCTTTGGAGTGTGATTTTTTTTTTTTTCCCCCGAGGGTGGGGCGGGGCAGAGGGAGAGGGAGAGAGAGAATCTTAAAGAGGCTCCCTATCCAGCATGGAGCCAGATGCCGGGTTCTATCTCAAAACTCTGAGACTATGACCTGAATGGAAATCAAGAGTTGGATGCTTAACTGACTGAGCCACCCAGGCACCCCTGGAATGTGGTTTTAAGTAACAAAGATATATATACATACATGTATACATAGTTATGTGTGTATGTATATAATTGTCATAGATACCAGTATATTAATAATAGTTCATATTTTAACTTGAATCAAAATTATTAGGATTATCATTTGTAGAATTAGTTGGAATTAGCTTAATAAAACAGGAATTCAGTTATTAAATAAATGGCATATACTTAAACAGAATCACCAGAGGGCATTTTTCCATAACACTCCTTACTTCCAGACTGTGTATTTTGCCCATTTTCTCACCCGTATTCTCCACTGTACTGTAAGTTGTATAAGGACAGTGGTGCTGAATCTCCGTGCACCTGTGTTTTGCCAGTGCTTACTGTGGTGTTTGGTAGATAGTACTTTTTTTGATGAATGCTTGAATTTATGAGTGAATTATATATGTAGTTTAAAAACGCACTATCTACCTCAAATGTGAAAGTTACACATTGCTCTTCTTAGCTTTATATAAAGCCAAAAAATATTGTGATAATGATTCAAAGTTAGAGTCTAAGGTGAATTAGGGCCATTCTTTTTTTTTTTTTTTTTAGGGCCATTCTTATGAAAAGTTCTATGAGGATCTCAGGATTTTTTTTTTTTTTTTTTAAAGATTTTATTTATTTATTTGAGACAGAGAGAATGAGAGACAGAGAGCATGAGAGGGAGGAGGGTCAGAGGGAGAAGCAGACTCCCTGCCGAGCAGGGAGCCCGATGCGGGACTCGATGCGGGACTCGATCCTGGGACTCCAGGATCATGACCTGAGCCGAAGGCAGTCGCTTAACCAACTGAGCCACCCAGGCGCCCGAGGATCTCAGGATGTTTAGGGAAAAGTACTCATCCACATTGCGTGGAAACTTGAATATTAATATTGCCATGAATAAGTAGCTTTCCAGTCTTACATATCAGGATAGGGGCAGTTGGGAGTAAAACCCTTGGTCTGTCATAATCCTCAGCCTAGTGCCCAGTCTACTGTTCAAACATGGTAACTGTGTGCACTTTTTTCTTTTTCTTATTACTAGCACCTCAGAACAGCCTCTGTGCTCAAGTACCATAGGATCAAGGGCTTGTTGAAATAGTTCACTACTTGACTATGAAAATTGGGCATTGATACTCTGATACTGATAGATATTTTTATACATATTTTTCTTTATAGATGGCTATATATAGATACATATTTTTTTCTTTTCCCAACTTAATGATGGCCACATACTGAATTGCATCAAATGATTGTTGAATGGGTGTTATTACCTATAGAGTTCTGGTTAGAGATAGGTTTTTTTTTTTAAGATTCAATTCTTGAGTTTATAAAAATAATTTTGGAATAATGTTTTCTCATTAAAAGTACAAAAGTTCCCTGCTACATCTTTTCTCTAAAATTACCAGAGAATGTATATAAGGTTATTTTTTTTTTTTTACTAGAACTGCCTTCTTCGGGTCAACACAGTTTTATTTATGTTCAAATGATTATTTTGTGAGATTGAGAAAAAAAATCTGCCTTTATTCGTAACTCTGCTACTCTGTTAGTGTTGCTTATTTTGTAAAATAAAGAATGGATAGATTTTATTTATTTAAATACTACTACTAATTTTTCCCGCAAAGGTTTAGGTTTGTCTTGCTGAATTTATTTTCAAACAGTGTTTTTAAAGAGTGTTCAGTATAGATAACAATCTGCAGATGTGATTTTGTTTATTAAATATCCAGAGTCACTGGCTGCCCTTGATCTTTGCCTGGGCCTTGCATTAAGTTCCAGGGACCTGTGTGGTTATTAGTAACTACTGATATTCATGTCAGCGGTGCTCAGGGCTGTGCCCACAGGAATAATTTACTCTGGAGAACAGTTAGACTTAAACTTGGGCTTTAAAAAGGAATGACTCAACACTGGACTCAAAGTGATCCGAACTTTGCATCGCAAATGCTACTGAAACAGAGTCTGCAACTGCAGCGCATGAGGTGTGGTTTGAGGGTGTGGTTTCAACTGAAGGGTAGGGACCTGTCTAGCCCTTTTCCCCTCCATTTAATATTCAAATGAGCACGGTGACGGGCGTTCACAAAAGGCTTTCTTCAGGGAGTCCCTGGTGTCAGGTTCTGCCTCTGCAAGCCCTTCAGATCACTCCCCATTTTGAACTACGTAGTTGGTGGGATTTCGGGGCTCTCTGAACCCGAGCGGCCCCTCTCCCCAGTTCCGGCACTGGGTCTGAGGTGCGCTGATGTCTCCACCAAGCTGTTGCATTGCAGCCTCCCGGCCTCGAGGTACCTCCCCCTGAAACAGCTCGCCTGCTCCCGAGAGGAGGCCAGGAGTCAAAGAAAACGATGACTGCGAAGTTAAGTCGCAGGAGGGCGTAGCAGCGAAGTGATAGAGCATAGAGCAGCCTGTCCAGAGCGCGGCTCGGCAAAGGGACAGAGCGGCTGCTGCCTGAAGAGAGAGGGCGTTGCTGGAAGGGCCCTGGCTCGGGAGGATGCCTGCCGGGGACCACACTGCCCAGAGGAGCTGGGGACAGCGCAGGACCTCCCTGCTGGAGTTCCTTCTCTGCCTCCCCCACCGGCCACCTCTGCCTCTCTCCAGCTGTAGCTGAAATGAAAGCCAAACCGCGGCCACAGTTGGTCAGTTTCAAAGGCTAGAGTAGTCTCGGTTTTCAGCTGAATGTGAATTGTGCTGCTTGTGCCTTAGAGGAAACCCGGAGCTCTTCTTTGCTGCAGTTTCCTCAGGTGGAATAAGCCTTAAGGAAGATCAGATAAGACTCTTTGGAAATGACTTTTTTTTTTTTTAAGGGGAGATTATAGTACACCGTGCTTTCTAACTGTTTACTTTAAACGGTTGCTGGATTGTCCTGGCTTGGCTGTCCAAAAGTCTATTTTTTTTTTTTTCCTTTGGGTAGCCTCGAAGAAGCTTAATATGGGAAGAAAAACTGCCTTTTGAATCAAGATTATTTATAGCTACACCCAAAAAAAGTAAAAGAAGATTTTAACTTTCTTAACAGCGTTAGACAACTTATTTTTCTCTGAAGATCTGTTTTGTGCCTTGATCTGAACAATACGTGGTCCCTGTGTTTGTCTTTTAAGTTTCTGAAGCATGGTTTATTTATAAAGGAGATGGGAGTTTTGCAAGCCATCCTTAAGTGGATTACAGTTAAACAGAGTTCTACCGATATTGACATTCAGCCTGTTAAAAATGCTGGCTCATTTGGAAATTTTAACCTGGAAATCTCAGATGCAAAATTAGACTAAAAAGGGAAATGGACTGACAATGGAATGTTTTGATTGTTTGAGCCACTGTTAAGTGTGTGTTTGTTTTGTTTTGTTTTCTGTGTTTTGGAGTGTGTGATTGGGAACTTGGGGGACTGGGGAAGGGGGAGGAAGGAGATTTCTGTTCTGTGTTCTTGATGCACTTTATTTTTTAGAATCATTTAAAAACAACCAGGTGAAAGGATAGTTGCATTTAGAGTGATGCACTGATGATGCTGATGACCTTATAAACACCTCATAGATCACGACCTGTATTATTTGAGCATATGTCTTTATGCTGAGGACACTTTATAGCTCTGGTCAGAAGTATACTTTTTTGAAAGATGCTTTACCTTCTTTCTTATTTTCTTTGACAAGAGCTGCAATATTTGTTTTAACTGTCTACAAAATGGGGAAGCCACTCAGCAGACCAGACTGTTTACGTCAGAATCCCCCATGTGTAGGGAAAGGTGAAGAAGAGGAGGACCTAAATATCGAAGACTGTTACGTCCCACAGCGGTCAATCTATGACACTGTTAGACTAAATGAACAGATAGACTCTGGTTCAAAGGGTAGCCTGTCTTCCAGGCATTTTACAGATCGGACTTTACCCTACAGTCACAGAACACTGGATGTTAGTTCTTTATGCTCTAATGGTGCCCTTGCTTCTTCCAGTGTATTTGAGCTGAGAGGTCGTGAAGCTAACAAACTAGATGAAAAGATGATCTTTGATGCGCTCAAGTTAAATAGTGATATCATTCGAACCACAGGATTACCCAAAGCCAAATCCCATGCAGAGAAGAAAGAACATAGACGGTCATGGCGAATGTTTGTCCCAGCCAATTTTATGGATTATGCAAACAAAAGTGAAAGCTCTTTTGTTGAACCTACTGATATGTCAGATGCTGTTACCAAGGCCAGCAAGTGCAGATGGGGTACTAATTCTCTAACGTCGGAGGAGGATGACTCTGGGTTATGTAGCCCTCCAGCAGAGAGGGAAGAAAAACAGGGCATTTTAACTGGAGACCAGTCACGAATTAGAAGCTTGTCTTCTGCTGAAGATATCCATATAGCAGAGCAATACAGACCATTCTTTTCTGTTTATTCCATTAGTGAACAGAAAATCCCATTGCTTTCATGTAGAAGTGCCCACCCTGATGAAAATTTCAGAATGATTTTACATGATGTTTCTCCACTAGAGGAAACAAAATGTGTCAGTGGTCAAAGGGAAATCCTTGGTGAAAATTATTGCTGGCAGAATGATTTGAAAGAAAGCACTGTTAAGTGTGATCTCTTAATTATGCCAAGAGATGGAGAAAACCAGTGTATTTCTAAGCCTGGAGACGAAGGGAAAACATATGGACCAGGAGGTTCTCAGATCACAGCACAAAGTAGGGAACTGGTGAAAGATTCTTCTGAGGTTTTACATCTCTCTCTCTCAGATCTGGAGGGAAATGATGCAGGTTGTGGTAGTACCAGTTTAGTGAAAAACGTGACACTGTTGACACCATATGATCCAGAAGAATCCAACGTAGCATCTAAAGAGGAAGTGGAGGTGCCCGTTTCTGCCCAGGAGATGGAGGTGGTCCACAGGAAGTGTTCCCCGAAATTCATACCAGTAAGAAAGCAAGCAGCTCCCCGAAAAGCAAGGGCCCAGGCAGGAATATTGGACCCAGTCTATAATGGCTTTCAATCAGTTCAGGTAATTAACGGGAATGTGAAACTCTGCAGTGCGAGTAGTTTATAGGTCTGTTTTAAAGTGATCACTAGTGTTTCTAATAATGCTCAGATCCAGTCTTTTATTTCGGGGGTTTGCCGAGTACCCTACAAGGTTCCAGGTGTTGATAAGTTGGTCATTATAACAAATTAATTAGGGACCGTTTTTTTTAGAAGAATGAGTATGCCCTGCTGTTTAGAGTCCTGTTGATTGTGCAGGTGGTGGCCGTTTCCCTGCATTTAGAATGCTTCCCCTGGGAGTTCATGTTAACATTATTAGGCTTTCCCACAAATTGTGGTTTAAGACACTGCCACGTGAGGGGAGTTATTTTGGATTTATTAAGGTTGAACAGGCCTGGTCACGGAGGTACAAACACACAGTATTATATTGTGGTCTGCGAAGTAGTCTTCTCAAATTAAGGACATTTTAAACGTGCTGGAAATCTTCTCTCAGTAGCTCTGAATGTGGAAGTAGAGAAGTTGTGCTGTGTTTTGCAGTCGTTACAGCTCCTAACTTGTGAGCGGTGAATGAGGTAAGAAAGTAAAGGGTGCAGCCTTGTCCTAAGTAAGGGTTGTTTGTCAAGCCTGTAATTATTTTCTTCCCACTCAGATTGAAGTTCAGCTATTTTGGTATTTTTACTAAGCTCTTCTGGTAAACTTTGCCTCAGAGGTAATCTTATTTTATTTTAAGCTTTGTGCTTGTGTGTTTATGGGTTAGATCAGGGGGAAAGCCTCTCTTCCGAGGTATTTGTTACCACTGAGAGATAAGGAATTTAGACAGTATCAAAAAAGGTCCTCTTTCCAGCCTACGAAAAAATTGCTCCAGTCATCGTTACCCTTTCCTGGAGCACATGTTAAATGGCATACTAGGTTAAAAGCTTAAAAGCACCTTTTTTTAATGTAAAGGATTTTGCAGTTTATTTGTTAGAAAGCAATTAAACCCTTAGGAATATATAGAGTCTTCAGTAGTTCTCTATTTTAACCCATAGCATATTTTTTTGTAGCACTTCAGAAAATTACCACAGACTCACCCAGACCTACTTTGGTATGCAACGCTAAAATTAATTTCTTTAGATCAGAGGTGAAGGCAATTTACTAGAACATTATATTAAATTTTTTGTCCTGAACGTTATCTGAGAGGGAGAGTAGAATTTTTCCCTGGCAAGTTCCTGGAATTATGAAGTAGCAGCTTTCTTACCATTCCCCCTTCTTTTCTGTAAGTAGTAAAACATATCCATAGCTGACGAACCATGAGAGAAGATGGATTCTGAAAAACAAACTGAGGGTTCTAGAGGGGAGGGGGGTGGGAGGATGGGTTGGCCTGGTGGTGGGTATTGAGGAGGGCACGTTCTGCATGGAGCACTGGGTGTTGTGCACGAACAATGAATCATGGAACACTTCATCTAGAACTAATGATGTAATGTATGGGGATTAACATAAGAATAAAAAAAAAAATTAAAAAAAAAAAAAAAAACATATCCATAGCTGTTAGTTCCTGGAAGTGGTAAAGAAAAGAAGTAGAATGGTAGTACCAAATTCTACTTTCACCACCTTGCTGCAACTTTATATTGACTTACTAGGTAACTTAATACATTTTAAAAAATTATGAAAGCTAATTTTTTTTTTCTCAGTGATTTGAGTTCTTATTTCTTTGGTTATGTGTAATTGACTGTTATAATTTATAGTACTGTTATATAGAAACAATGAGCCAGTGTGGAAATTGTAAGGATTTTATGTAGAAGAAGAAACTTGGGCTTTTAGCTGAGAGGAGACTTTTAAGGGAAATGATCATTTATTTGTTTGCTATTTCTAAATTTACTCATTCATGCAATAGCACAGGACTATCTTGAGTGCCATGCCTCAGGCCAGAGTCTGAAGACTTTCTCTTGTAGCCTCTACATCTTTAAAAATTACTTCCCATAAGGTGTCTGTAATTTTTTAAGTACTATTTTGTTATTTGCCTTTTTAATGTTTTCATATATTCTGTTAATTGTTCATTTACTTGGACTATTGATATATTATATAGTGCCCTGTAGTATAATGACTCAAACCCCAAACCTTGTCTTGTCTTAATATCTAGCTGAGACTTTCCTTCCTTTGTTAAATTAATTTTCTTTATGGCATCTCTTAGGCCCTATATTTAAAACATTTGTATCTCTATAAAAGAGTTGATGTACTATCAGTATAATCCCTTTGCGGGGTTAATGTCATCCACGCCATGACGGAAATATAATTTTTCTGTACTGATACTCATCCGGCAAATAATTATGGGGTACGTATTACATGCTAGGTACTGTAGTAGCTCCAGGACATAGAACCACTATCAGGAAACGAAATTTCTGCTTTCGTGGAACTGGCATTTTACTCTAGCGCATGAGATTTTTTGCCAGTTACAGGCATTTGGGGACTGTAAATTGGATGGGACTGAGAGTCGGAGGGAGAGTTCTGGCAAATGGCTGGCAGTGAAGGCAGTGACCAGAGAGTAACCAGACTTGCTGTGCTGGCGACATGAAATGTGTGAGCACGTCCGAGGGGTGAGGGCTCTGTGCTCTTGCAAGGCTGTCGGCATCTTGATAGGCATTGAGGGGGCTGGGTGGGTAGGGACCCATTCTATTGCAGTGCCTGCCGACATCCCTTCTCTTTTCCTAGCTCTGTATTTTGGCCTTGCTGGCAAGCTATAGATTGGCCTCTTGGCTCCCCTCAGCACTTTGTTCTTGACCTTCATTTCCAATCTGAGTCTCAAACTTCAGCAGTTGCCTGCTAACAGCAGGTATCACTAGAGGAGCTCATAAAGCTCCTTGCCCAGTAAGGCTTTTCTCGGGCCCATCTTATCATTTTGCTCCTTGGCGTTTTTCGTACCTTTTCCACTAGAGTTAAATTGGAATGATAGAAAATATCTAGTTTTATGCTAATGAAGCAATAGAGAGAGGACAGATAAACTCTTTTCTTGGTTTTATAGGTAATCTGATTAAAGGTACTTAGAATATCATTCTTTAAAATTCCTGGGTGATTTTGATAATATTATAAATTTATACTTAGTTTATTCTTACAGTTATTCATAAGGTAGCTGTGACATATGATGAGATAACAAAAGTTATGTTTACCTGTAATACTGGATACCTGATAATTGAACAAATGTTTGTATTTGGTGGTGGTTAGATAATTTGTATAAATTATTGCTCTTCCAACCACAGGTATTCCAAAAGGAAGAGATTGAACCTTTGCAGGTTAAGCAGCAAGATGTAAACTGGTTAGGTCAAGGCCTTATTCAGAGTGCTGCTAAAAGCACCAGCACACAGGGTTTGGAGCATGACCTGGACGATGTCAATGCACGCTGGAAGACTCTCAACAAGAAGGTAGTTTCTCCATCCCCTTTGTTATTATTTCTGTCAATTATTTATTCTCTAGCATTTGTTGTGACAACTAATCATATTTCTAGTAGCTAAACTTCCCTACGCGTGCCTGCCTTTTTATATTGCTGTAAACTGGATGGCCCAAACTCAGATGCCTGCAGGTGGTCAGTGGGCAGCATAATGACAGAAGTGAGCTGAGTGAAATAGGACTCTGCCTGGCATTCTCTTGACTTTGAGAGAGACACAGTAGTGCCAGTGTGATGGCAGGGGGCCCATGATCCATGACCTTGTGTTGAGGGAGCACACACACCAGGGGAAGCGGCAGGCAGTGGGAGAGGGAGAAGCAGGCTCCCCGCTCAGCAGGAAGCCCAATGCGGGGCTCGATCCCAGGACCCCGGGATCATGACCTGAGCAGAAGACAGATGCTTAGCCATCTGAGCCACCCAGGTGCCCCGGAAGCTGATACCCTAGTCTACTTACTTTCAAAGGAACTGCGCATCTCACTTTTTCGGTGAAACCTAATTTTCAAATGTTGGCAACTAATTTACACCGTATAATAGGTCACCCTGTGCAGGTGAAAGCAACTGTGTCTCTTTGTCAGCCTTGGACTAAAGGTTTTACCACCCTCGCTATAGACTCTTAACTCTAAATATTTTACTTACGAGATGTAGATCCCACCTCTTTCTAAATGTCCATGAGGGAAAACCCTGGAGAATAATTCTCTGATACCTTAAGGAGATAATGCTGAAACACAATGGCAGCCCTTCACATGATGTAAATGATCAGAACATTGTTATGGGATGGCAGTGCTCATCTGGTGGTGGTGGTTTTTGTTCTCGTAGTTTTCTCTGCTTTGAAATCTTAAGCAATTGTTGCCAGATCTCAAAAGTACATTTATCATTCTTTAAAGTCTGATTTGTATTGTAGTGCCCTTCAAACACAGCTGGAATATAGTGTCAGGTGTAAATGTATTATATGGTACTTGAAATATCTTGCCAACTACTTTTTCAGTCCTGAAGAAAAAGATCTGTGAGAAGGGCAATAGGATATCTCTCTGTAGAACACAGAGACTCCATTTACTAGAATACAAAGGCCCTGGTTTGTCAAAAAAGGACTCTAGGACTTGGAGCTAGCAGAATTTAATCGGATACTTTACAGGTATTTTGCTTAGCAAAATATAAATCTGTTTCTCTCTACTATAGTAGTTTTTTTTTTTTAGCTTAGTCTTAAAATATTCATCAGTAGGAAATAAAAAATGAATCAAAAGGATACTGATAAAAATGAATTAGGCATTGTTTCAGTAACCTTATAATACTTGAATTATTCATGGCTAACCATAAATGTATTTGGTATTTCCAAAATCTCAACGATTTCATCTTTTACATTACTGTTTGGGATGGAAACCTTTTCTTCTTGGCTTGATTGCTAGCCTTTGACTCTTTTCCACCACAGTCCTGCCCATTGTCAATGCTTTGGGCGGATTTTAAGTGAAAAGGAAAAGAAAATTTGTGCCCAGATGGGAAGATGAGCGTGAAAAGTAGTGGCTGGTGGGCAAATTTCACTTTTTAGGAAACAAGTAAACAAGTTGATGCAACTGCAACTTTGCAGGTGGCTCAGCGAGCAGCCCAGCTGCAGGAGGCCCTGCTGCACTGTGGGCGGTTCCAGGATGCCCTGGAGTCCCTGCTCAGCTGGATGGTGGACACCGAGGAGCTGATGGCCAATCAGAAGCCCCCGTCAGCCGAGTTCAAAGTGGTGAAGGCCCAGATACAAGAGCAGAAGGTAAGTCAGCGATACTTTTGTGTTGTGTTTCATGTCAAACCGTAATGAGAGTAAAAATTTTCCTCGTGACTCTCTTTGTATTAACAGAATATTCTAGTTGACTGGTTATTGATGCTCTAGACGTTATTTTTCAGTCATTCAACAAGCATTTACTGAACATCTGCCAGGGGTCCGACATTGTTTCAGGTGCTGGAGATAGTCACTAAATAGAAAAGATGAATGTTCCTTATTGACTTTAAGGTTTAGTGGGCAGGGAGGAAGAGGGGGAGACAGTAGAAGTAAGTAAATTGTGATAAGTTATCAAGTGATAAATAAAGAAGAATTAGGAAGTGCCAGAGAAAGGAAGGAGGACAGGAAGTGCTGGGGTGGAGTTGTGTGTGTGTGTGTGTGTGTGTGTGCAGTTTCCAATAGGGTAGTCAAGGAAAACCTCACTCACTGAAAAGGTGACTTTGGCAGAAATACCATTCCATTATATGTTAGATCGATCTATATGAAATTGGCTTTTTTTTAAAAGTATAGTTGACACACAAAGTTACATAAGTTTCAGGTGTACAATATAGTGTGATTCAACAATCTCTATGTTATGCCACGTTCCCTACAAGCGTGACTGCTATCGGTCACCATACGACGCCTTACAGCACCATCGACTATATTCCCTATGCTGTGCCTTTCATCCCTGTGACTCACTCATTCCCTGACTGGAGGCCTGTATTTCTCACTCCTTATTTATAGGTTAAATACAGGCGGTTTCTTGTGGCTCAGCCTGTGCTGAAGAAGCAAATATTTGATTCGTATATGCTAAGGAATATGCTGTTGTGTCTTTTGACACTACTAATACAAGACCAAGTAGGAAAGAAAGACCCACTTGTTAGAGGGATGATAACATAGAAAAAAAATTTTGTGCTCCTGATGGCGGTGGTCAGTTAGGAAGCATTTAGTGACATTTTCAGACAATTTGTCAGCCATGACTTGAAATGGCATATGGGAGGGGCCTAGCACACAGCACGTTGGTAAGATTTTTCCTGTGTGGAACTTTAAAAAGAAGGGAATGGATCAAGAGGTTTAATTTAGTTTTGACATTCAGTACTCTCTCTAAAAATTCTTTGAAGACTCTAGGGTATTGGGAATTAACCTGTGAGAAACAGATTTAGAGATAAGGATTATAGAAATATAACAGGAAACACATTGCATTTGCATAATTTTTAAATAATATATACGTAATATATAATATGTAACAAAGTAATGTATATTTAATAAGTATAATATAATATATATAATAATATAACTGCTACCGTTCAGTATTGAATTTAGACCTTTGTTATTCTCCCAAAGTCAATGACCTATGTTTAGCCAACAGAACGTATTTGTTGGTTTTGCTTTCTTAATTGCTAGAGGCTTTGCTATTAAAGTTTATCAGAAGTAATCCATTTAATTAGTTCTCTTTACTGCCTAAATCACCTGTTGTACCTTGATTTTACAATGAGTGTAACCTGTATCAAGAGAGTTGGCATGTCTTCCCCTTCTTTTTAAACATGTTCCTCTTACCACCTGATTTGGTGGTCCCAAAATGAAAGTGAAGGATACTCTTTTAGCTTCTTACCTCGAGGTAACTGCATTTCTTTAATCCTTAACTATCAGTCAGGATCAGATTAAGGAAGCAGTGAAGAAGTATTTAGCATTTCATATACCTGTGCCTTCCTCTCTGTTATTAACACAGTCCCTGTGCTTAGCACTTACTCATGAAAGAATCGTTTTGATTAGATTAGAGCAAGGTAATCCTGAGTTCTGGCTACTGTCAAACATTCCATCCAAGGCTTTTTTGAAATATTTGCTTAGAATTAAATTGGATTTTTTTTCTGCTGCTAAATCCTGAAATGCTAGTCTTATTTAGCCAGCTTTGGGGATTTCTGACTTATTCCACCCTCCCTCTGTTCCTTTTGGAGATGATATTCTGAGGCTCTTTTTGAGTTTCCAGCCTCATGAAGGATTTTAGGAAGTAGTTCCACCTAGTAAAGAGAGGCAGGGGCCTCGAGTTTGAGCCTCACTAGCTTGAGAACTTGGTCTGAGTCTCAGCTCCCCTGTCTATAATGGTTTGTTTAACATGGGGAAAGGTGTTGAGAACAGTAATGATTTATAATAATCTTGTCTCAGTAGGACAGGTGATCATTGAAGGTTTAGGGGGTTACCATTTCGTTACAATAAAGGGGATTTTGTACTTCCAGTGCAGTGCAGTTATCCTTCAGCGGCACCTTCCACCCCATTATTTTATATTAAAAAAATTAATAATGAATGGGCTTAATGGCCTTATCAATATTAGTTTTATCTGCTATGAAAAGCCCCAATCACAGTGTCTGACACAATAGCAATGAATCACTAAACAAAATGAGTTATTTTTAAAATCCTACTTCTTTTTTATGTGAATCCATACAAAATACGTATTTTTTGTCATGTATGAAAAGTACTTAGACTGTGTTTTCCATTAGTTAACACAATTATTCCTCTACTCCCCCCCCCCGCCCCACCCCTTTTGCTTTCGGTATTGAATGTTCTGTCTCAAGCTTCTCCAAAGATTGTTGGACGACCGCAGATCCACTGTGGACGTCATCAAACGAGAAGGAGAAAAAATTGCTGCAGCAGCAGAACCTGCGGATAAAGTGAAGATTTTGAAACAGCTGAGTCTCTTGGATAGTAGATGGGAGGCATTGCTTAATGAAGCTGAAACGAGGTAACTTAGATACTTCCAGCAGCAAAGGCTTTCCTGCTGAATGTTTGCATTTTGATAATGCTTTTCTTCAAACCGTCATTTTCCTATGTTTACCATGTACGTGAACAGGGAGCAGGGGCCGTGGGGCCTCTCTCTTCGTTCCTCTAATGGTAATGTCTTGGAGTCACCAAATAATTTCAGCTCTTTATTTTAAGAAAAATGATTCCCTCAGGAGTAATTTATTTATGACATAGTAACTGCCCGCCTGCTGTGCATCAGGCACAGAGCAAGGCCTTGGGTCATAGAGGTGAGCTGGACAGATCGTCTTGGTCCTCAGGGTACAGTCTAGTAGAGTTTTATAGCCATTGGAAAGTAAAGACAAATGTGAGGTTTCAGAGCAAAAACGTAGGGTGTTGTGGAAGCGTATAAAGGAAAAACCGAGTCTGGGGGGAGGGAAATGACAGTTAAGCTGTGTTTTAAAGGAGTAGGAGTTAGCTAAGAAACGAAGTAGATGGAAGGGTGCTGTGGTGTTTGTGAAGGCTAAGAGGTCTGGAGCATGGTCTGCAGGGCATGCAGTCAAACTGTTTTTTAATTACATTTTTTCATTCTCCATGTTGTCATCACATTGACCAGTGTTGAGTAGTAGCTACACTGAAGTGTCACCATAGCCACATAGACTGGTTGAGTTGAAAATAGATGAACCACTGAACAGAATGATTATTTCCATAAATTGCTACCTTCTTTGGAACTACAATGGTGAAGAGAAGGATTTGTCTAATCTTGAATATCGGAATAGAATTAATTATAGTTGTAGGACCATAGAGTAAGATGCTCCTAAGGAGGCTAAAAGCTCCATGACCTTTAGTATGTGTCAGGAGATTATTCCTTCTGTGTAATGCCTAGGACATTGTGCCCTGGCTGCCGTGGGACATACTCTAGGTACTTTGTAAAAAATAAATGAATGAATGTCTAGATCCCTGCTTTACTACCACAATGGCTTTCTTGTCCTAAACCTTCCTCGCAATGGTATTAAGTGGAAGGGTAGTGGTCATATTATGATTCCTACACAGTTTAATAAAGTCACACACAATTTAAAGCAAGGTAAACTAAACTTAGTGGCAAAATAATTTATTTTCACGATTCTAGATGATTGGATGTTTGAATGTAGTAATAATTCAGAAGTCAAAAATATTATTGTCATTTTATTCATTTTTTAAACATCAAATGTATTTCATCTGAAAGTTTTAAGACCTATAGGAATATGTAGTTTGTGATAAAATGATACAGAAATTGTATTCACTAGCATGTGCCAATTTTCTAGAATTCCTTTGGTGTCCATAGAAAGTGAATTTCTTAAATCATGTGACTCCTTAAGAATCAAACATGATAAAAAGTTATGACAGCAACTCTTGGTCCCAGGATTTGATACTGAGTCAGGTTCTCAGTATAGAAAGCGGCCCAATCTCTTGCCCTAGGCGAAAACTGACCCCAAGGGAAGTAGGTTTTCACTTTCACGGTACCTTTTTTAACTGAGGAAGCAATGGGTTTTCTAGAAGCATTTCAAATTATATAAGTGTATTTCAAACAAGTAAAAGTCTGAAGAATATTTTTCTTCTTTCATGATATTTTAATCCGTAAATATTAACTGTTCCTTTTGGGAAATATACCTGACACTGTACTTGGGGTGAGGGGGGTGTAGAGAAGATACCTGGCACACAGCGTTAGTAGGAATCCCTATTCAGTCCATGGGGGGTAGCTATAGGAGGTCTTCAAAATTTGAATCCAATTTTGACCAGTTGATTAAGGCAGTTGCAGTAGCTGGTGCTCTGGTTGAAGTTAATTAATATATAAAACACTTAGAACAGGGCTTGATGCAGATTATGTGTTCAATAAATTGTTATTTTTATTGTCATTATTATTGCTGCTATTGTTACTATAACATTTGGTATTACTATTACCCGGCTATTATTATTGTAAGTATTATAACCAAATTTCTCAAGAGTTTCGTAAGATTTAGGTACTTGGGATTGGTCTGTGGTTCACTTTTAATTTTATTTAGTGAGAGAACTATTTTAGCATGTCCTTTAAATGTGAGAGATCTTAACTTTAACCTTCTAGATGTTTTCCACAAAAACGATTTCGAATGCAAGAGCATGAGTAAAGATTTTTGTTGAATATTTCACACATTCTTCGTCCCTAACTGGCATCTGTCTTGGCACTTGTATAGGAATCGTCAGTTGGAAGGTATTTCGGTGGTAGCACAGCAATTTCATGAAGCCCTAGAACCATTGAATGAGTGGCTTACAACCATAGAAAAGAGGCTGGCGAATTGCGAGCCCATAGGAACCCAGGCGTCTAAACTTGAGGAACAAATTGCACAGCACAAAGTAAGATACCCATTGCTCATTAGCAAGGTTCAGTTTTCCATCTCCTCTGTGGTATTATGTCATAAATTTGAGTTACATACTGTTGTGTTATGCATGATTGCAAACAGCCCATTTCAAATGTCATTCTTCCGTTCTGTTTATGTTTTCATTTTTATTTGTCCATCCTTTTTGTTTCTCTCTTTTTTTTTTTTAAACTTTATTTTAGGCCTTAGAAGATGACATCATCCATCACAATAAACATTTACACCAGGCTGTTAGCACTGGCCAGTCCTTAAAGGTTTTGAGCTCCAGGGAGGATAAAGATATGGTGCAAAATAAATTAGACTCCTCTCAAGTGTGGTACATTGAGATTCAAGAGAAAAGTCACAGCAGGTCTGAACTCCTCCAGCAGGCCTTATGTAATGCTAAGATTTTTGGGGAAGATGAAGTTGAGCTGATGAATTGGCTGAATGAAGTGCATGACAAACTGAGCAAGCTCTCAGTCCAGGATTACAGCACTGAGGGGCTTTGGAAGCAGCAGTCTGAACTTCGGGTATTTTTATTTATGTTATTTTTTTCATTTCAGTTGTCATTGTTTTCTCAGTCTTCCTTATTTCTGTATTATTTTATGTTCTTATGATTTAGGTGAATTGCTATACTCAAAAAAGACTTTGCCTGTGTATACAGATTACTTCTGATGAAGTCACTTTCGGAAAAGATTGTGTTTATTCAATAGCCAGATTTTTCACTGTTCCTTTGTTGTTTTAGGGTTGTATACAAAGACCCATAATTAACTAGTAGTCCAATATCTTCACATAGGCCATTTTCTGAAAAGGAGACTGTGTGAATTAGGGTAGCTGAACATGAGACATGGGCCAGGATGGCTTAAAGAGGAGGGGGAGACAGGGGAACAGGAATGACTAGTTGAAAATGGGAGGTGTTTACTTAAATCTCTATGAAACACAGAGTTCTCTAAGATTAACCAAAGCTAATTGTTATTTAAATTTTTTCCCCCACATAAAAATGGTACCTGTGTTTTAGGTTCTGCAAGAGGACATCCTACTCAGAAAACAAAATGTAGATCAGGCATTACTAAATGGTTTAGAACTACTAAAGCAAACAACAGGTGAGAATCTTTCAAATCAACTCATCATGCAGTTAGCATTTTTGCATTGCTTTCTAAGTATCTTAGGGAGAGGGGGAAAAACAAAATACTTTATAATTTTGGGGCCACTCCAAGACTTCATTCTGCAGAATGCTTTGAAGACTGAAGCCCAAGGGGGTTTTGCAATATGATCTCACTTCTTTTCTCATGATCTCACTTGAGTTCTTAATGGAAGTGTGCGTATTACTCATAACACAAAGCACTGTGGCATAGGAGACCGTCTGAGAAGGCCACAGCAGAGTTATGTGAGTTTTCCACTTGTGGGAGGTGGTTGTGCTACATGAGTGCATTAGGTGGTAGACACATTTTTCCAGTGTTAAGATCGTTTGCCTTTCGTGACACACACACACCCCGTGGCTACCCTCAGCCTTCATTTCCCCATGCTTCAACCCACTAGAAAACAGATACAGACTGACTAGGTCATTCCTTTGGCTGTAGGAAAGCTTCACTGTACCCATGTCCAGTTCAGCATGCATCTTGTGCTTTGGGCATGTAACATTCACTCTGAGTTGAAGGAATTCAATATAGTATGTAGAACCTTGGACTAGGAGTCTGATGCCCAGGACACAATTTCTCTGTCTGGAAATGAGGTAGAGTCAAGTGAGGATCTACTGAAACAGTGCAGATGAGTTTATTATTTTTAACATAAATACATGCACACACCACACATATGTACCACATACACACACACGTGCATACATACATACACAGAGGCCAGGCACCGTTCTAAACACTTTGCAAATAAACTCACTGAATTTTTATCACAGCCTTATGAGGTGGATTCTGTTCTTATCCTTATGTAATGATGAGTAACCAAGGGCACAGAGAGGTTATCTTACAAATGGTAACAAACCACAGTCAGTATTTGAACCCAAGCAGTGTTTAGCCCCCTGCTTGAAAACTGAAAACACCATATAGTTAGATGCAAAGATGATGCTTTCATGTAACTGAAGGCCCTGTAGCCCTTCCCAATTTTATATTTGTGTTTTCAGAGCTGTTGAGATTTGCCAGAAATCCTGGGGAAAAGATTAAAACCTGGAAAAAGGCTTCTCTTGGGTCAGATCGTCTTTGGGAAAACATCCTTTTTTCCCCCCCCCTCCAGAAAAATCTCCTCAGTGTCCAATAATACCTGAAGAAACCCCTCTCTCTACCTTTTCTTTCCTTTCTGGAGATCTAACATGCCTTTGAAATTTCAGGTGATGAAGTTTTAATAATTCAAGATAAATTGGAAGCCATTAAAGCAAGGTACAGAGACATTACAAAATTGAGCACGGATGTAGCCAAGACTCTGGAACAGGCACTGCAGCTCGCGAGGCAGCTGCACTCCACACGGGAGGAGCTCCGTGCCTGGCTGGACAGAGTGGAGGTGGAATTGCTTTCCTATGAGGCTCAGGTCCTGACGGGAGATGCGGCAAGCCAAGCACAAGCGAGACAGAAAGTATGTTCTCATCTCTGCGTCTCGGATCCGTGGGTTCTCTTTGAGGGAGATAGTCTCGGGTCGTCCGTGACAGAACGAAGGATGCCTCCATGGGTGGGGACCCAAGAGAAATCGGCAGCAGACTGATGGTTGAAAACTTGTAGGAGCCCAGAGATGAAAACAGTGCATCGTAATTTGTTTCCAGTGTCTGATGGTTGGGAGTATAGCTTATTACCCGAGAGACAGAATGATGAAAACAGAAAAGAAAAGGAAGAAAAAAAAAACAGGAAAATGATCGTTTTAGAGATACACATAATTTGCTTAGGATAACCATATTTTTCCGAGATAGACGCATAGCATGATGTAGCTTTTCTGCTTACATTGTAAAAGTGGTGTTCCATCATGGTCATGGTTCTTCTCTTCAGAGAGAGCCTCTGTTTTTATCCACCCCGAAGTGTGATCACACGTGGGTGAAAGGTTGTTGGGGAGGTGATGATTCGACTGGGATGATGTAAAGCCAGTATGTTCTCATTTTGAGGGTTACTTTAGTTCTGGCTTGGACTTTCCTCTTTATTTTACTCTTCTGGTCCCTGATTACTTAAGAGGTTTCCAGAAAGCAAAGAATAATACGTGTCGACTTGCTTGGTTTTGTTTCCCAGATTTTAAACATTTATATTAAAGTTCAAATGTTGACCAGTGAATTGTTCTTTGGAACTCCTCAAGAAACACTTTCCTTTTTACAGAATAGCGTTAAATAATAAAGGTTTCTAGAACTTAACTGAAACTCAGCGGCCAGTGCCTGGCATTATTGGCCTGCAAAGGACTTTAGGGCCAATGATGGGGAAAGGAAAAGCCTGTTCAAACTCCTGAGCATTACCCCCCAGATTTGTATGTTTTTTAATTCTGTTTTCAGGAACTGAAAAAGGAAGCTAAGAACAGCAAAGCCTTATTGGACTCCCTTAACGAAGTGAGCAGTGCCCTACTGGAACTGGTACCATGGAGGGCGAGGGAAGGACTTGAAAAAATGGTGGCCGAGGACAACGAGCGCTACCGATTAGTGAGCGACACCATCACTCAAAAGGTGGAGGAGATCGATGCTGCCATTCTGAGATCCCAGCAGGTAGGGGTGCATGGTTTTTTGTCTCGGCAATAAATTTTCCCCAGTTGTGCCCTGAGCCTTTACCTGAGCAAAGATTTCTGTTCACAGTGTTTCCATTCATTTGTTATGCTTCAAAAATGAAAGGAGGGGTTTGAAAAGAGTTCGGGCTTCTTCGACATGTGAGTGCCAGGCAGGGCACTGCTAATCTGTACATTGTTAACAGCCATCTGCCTCACTGGAGCCCAGACTTAGCCTTACCAAATCAGTCATTGGGAAGATCAGCCCCGCTTTCCAAACAAAGTGCATTTTGCCTCCATGTGTGTGAATTGCTAATGCTAATTTTATGCCTTGGCTAAGTCTAATCTGTTTGTGAGTAAATATTTTGAGTTATCATGTAAGTCAGTATTAACTGCTCATTTCCATACAGTGATGGCAAAGAGAGGCTATTATATTCTTTCTAAAAAGGAAGCAGTGGTGTGGGTGATGTCGTGTTTTTTTCTGGAGATGACTCAAGGGGAAAAACGATAGTTTCTGACCTGTCTGCGACTCATGCAGACTTTATAGTTCCAGAGAGTTTTATAGGCACCCAGCCCTCACCTCAGCTCCCTCAGAAAACTGTGGGCAACAAGTGGGGTCCTGGAAACAGAAGTTTAGAAGACATGTTTTGATGAACTTTTATTGAGTATCTGGACTGTTTACATTAAGTCATCAGAATCTTACTGCAAAGTTTCTGTGACAGGGTTAGTGCGCTCTTGCAGTGTACTTTAGAACAGAGCTGTGGAAGGTACATAACTAAGCTTTTCCTAATATGTGCCAGAAGCAAGAAACACAAATCAAGCAGATTGTGTGGGAGCATCCAAAATTGAATTTTGAAGGTTGCTGTAAAAGTGTAATTTATATATTGTTATATATCATAATTTATATGGCACAGTGCTTCACTCCTCATGTCCGCGCCATGCTCTAGAGTCACAAAAGCTGATGAAAAACAATGACAGCAAAAGGCCTGCCTGAGAAAGTTTTGCGAGGGAGAGCATTCATGCCTGAGGAATGTATTTGCATGACTTCTGTTTTCCGAGTTTGGCACAATTTCTATGCCTCCTTATTACAGGAAAATAAATGGATTTATTTGTGAAGTTTATTCAACTGTAGGAAAATACTGATTTTTTTTTTTCACCAAAACTGATATCAACATTTCAGAATTGGCATCAAAGATTTCCTAAATAGCAAGACAGATATTCTGGAATATGATTTTTCTTGAGAAGTTGACTATGGTTGGTCAGGTCGGTGAAGTAAGACAGTAATGAGGGCAAGATGGCAGGTGGAGCTTGTCCTGGTTAGTAATCTCGGATATGTGCCAATGTCATTAACTGTAGCTCGGTTCTTTTCAAGGTTAGCAGATATTTTCTGAAGTTTAAAAAAAAATGTAACCAGGTCAGTATATGTCCCAAACATATATCCTTTGGGAAAGTAACAGTTACTGTTTATTTTTTCTGATAAAATCATTCATTATAGAAAATTTTTTAAAGATTTTCTGAAAGAATACAGAAAAACTCATGGAAGGAAGAATGTGTGTAAATAATATGATCTCTATCCTTCTAGTCTTCCTTCTGAGAGAGAAAGCATGTGTGTAGTAGTGATGATGTCTTATTACCGGTAGGTCATACAGCTAATATTAATGCCATTAATATTTTCTCATTCACATGTATTTATTCTGTATTCATGTGTGAAATTCTTTTGAAATGCCTTCAAGTCTGTCCAATGAAATACCTCCAGCAATAAAGAAAATCAGTAAAATGTACTTAAGCCATCAGAAATAATGAAATCCTCCAGCTAGGCTGAAGAGACACACTTTTTGAGAGGGAGGAACGTATGTAGTAAAGGGACTTACTGTGATCCCAGAAGCTAGTACATGGTGGAGTTGGACCCAGATTTAATCCAGATCTCATTCTTTTTTTTTTAAGATTTTATTTATTTATTTGACAGAGAGAGAGCGAGAGCAGGAACACAAGCAGGGGGAG